AATATATATATCATATACAGGAAGGTTATTAAAACTCCCTGACAGTTTGAAACATGAACTTAGTTTTCTCTGGTTTGTCTGTCTTGAAAGAAAAGTTCAAGTCTTTAATGTATTTCTTCATAGTTCAAATTTCTTTACCAAATATTATACATTCAGTAACCATCTGTAGTTTATCCAACATATCTTTTTCTTGGATAGTTAGGGCCCCAAACTGCAAATATTTTAAATTGGAAATTAGCTTTTATTATGATCATAATATATGTTTCAAAAACATTCTAACTCGCACTTACATCCAAAATATATTTAGATCCCAGAATTTTACTTGCTCTGTCCACCACAGCAGAAAAGTAAGATGTAACTAATAATCATATCTTAGTCCTCCTGTTTTTTCATAACATCAGTTATTCTTTTATACAAGCAGCAGAAACTAAGTAATAAGTTTGTAGAGTGAAAAACTTTGTAGAAACCACATTGCAGAAAGTTTATTGAACACCAGCCTTAATATTTCATTTCCAACATGTTATTCAATAATTCCATAAACATATTGCTCAAGGTTTTATTGACTTTAAATGTATGATTAAGTAACATCAGTAATAAATTGGACAGGTTATAAAATATTTTTAACTTGAACTTAAAAAAAACATAACACTTAAGTCAGCTTTATATCAACCATTTCTGTGTTCACATGAAATTTTTAAAAGGTCCAGTTTTAACCTGTAAATTTCTATAAAGTTAGTGTTGCATATAGTCCAAGAATGTTTCTTTTAATGATATTGTTTTTGTTGATTTATCCTTGTTACTGTAACTTTATTAGAAATACTAAGAAGAAAATTTGCTTCCTTAGTCACTTCAACATAAAAAAGTTAAAAATATGGGGTCAGTATTCAAATGAGTGAACAATAAATTTAGATGCCCTTTGGGACAAATTGTAATGAAGTTAGCAAAAACTCACCAGTACGTTTTGTCATCAACTTTTCTAAAAACATGCAAATAAATTGATCATAAGGCACACTAGAAAATGTAAATCCCACATGATATATGGTTCAGGGTGACCTCATTTTGACAGCTATCACAGTCAAGCCAAAGTCGTGGTGTTGCACATAATCATACTTGTATGATCAACACATAGACAAAACCTAATGCAACCACTCCTTTCCCTATTTTTTTTTTTTACTGCACCTTTCAAAACATTAAAACCTGAAGTTACGCCTCTTAATTTTTCATTTATACAAGACATAATGTGAAAAATTGCTTATATGTTAACAATAATGAAAGTAATTTTTCAATAAAATTAATCCAGTGTTATTATACAGTTTAAACCCTGAACTTACTGTTGCAATAAGTTCTTAGCAGAAAACTTTCGGCACATAAAATTAATTCATTTTTAATAAAGAATACGTTATTTTCCCTACGGAATCATATAATGGCAAGGAAATCACAGAACTCTATTAATTTGTAAAATAGTAGTTAATGGGAGTGAGTTTCCAAACGTATTGTTTATCTACAGTGTGTATGATGTATGTCACTGAATTCCATGTTGCGAGTTTCAAACTAAACAGATTAACTATTTATACAAGCAATACACAATATAAAAGTATTACCTGCAGTAAGTTAGCTGATCGTTAAACATGTATGTGTAAAAACATTTTCATGAAACAGGTGTTTCAGTTTTCACCAAGTTTTGACGTGTTCTTAAAAATTTATTACTTGCTTGCACCTGTAACCTTGATATATGTGTGAGTCAGAAGAATCCATCAAGTTTTCCATTTTAGTACTTTGATCTTGTTCTTTGAAAACCCTGAAGAATGATGTATGGTACTTTACACATGTAATGTTGAGATAAAATAATTGTACTACATGTACTTGCAAATTTTGAAACATTTATATATTGAATTGTTTTTGAGAAATTATGCTCAATTCAGTTATTTAGAAAATCAGAATTAATAAAATAATTTCAAGTTTTATCACATAAGTTTATTTCTTTGAAAATTGGGAGTTTAGAAAAACTATAGTTAACACCAAAAGTTTTATATTTATCAAGAATGTTACCCATAAAAAGGCAAGTGCTTGCCAAAGGCCGAAGTAAACCTGTGATACTGGTTTGAAAGTGGCTTACAGAGGACATTAGCGTAAATAATTAGGATCATAAAATTTCACATTTCAATATTTCTCAATTTTATTTTAAAATATCTTAATACTACCATACTGAATTTTAGATAAATGCATTTATTAAAGCATAGCTGTAATTTCTAAGATAACTTTCTTGCAAACCAAGATTAGACCCTTTTTTGCCAGTATTCCCAGAAAGCAGTCATTTTTTTTACATTGTAAGATGTAATAGTGTTTATATCAAACTAACAAAAGGCAAGATTAAACACATTTTACTGAATTTCAAATTTGCTGAAAAGACAAAAAGGAAAGTCTGCATGACACTTCATGAAAATAACTTCATACTGGAAGAGTTCTTTTTATGGCTACAGATCAACGCTGTACTTCTAACATTCCTACTGGTACAAATAAGCTCAGTTTCTACATTTGTTGGCCCAAATGTACAGGTCAAATTGATTATTAGCTAGGTTATGTTCAAGGAGCTTGTGATGGGCTTTAAGAATATACATTGTTAAGCAGCTCTTTTTAGGGGTTTTCACTGGATCAGGTGAGGGCAAAAAGTTTTTACAAGAAAGCAAGGATAAATCAGAAACTAGCAGGGGTAAGTGTGAATAACAAGGTAAATTAAGATCCATGGAACAGGTACCTTATAAGGGCATGATAGAACAGTTCCCAAGCAATGGATTGCACTTGAATAGGCTTGAAAGCAGGATGTCTGTAGAAGCTCGTATTGGATTCAATGGGAACAACTTAAACTATTAATGCTTGGAGATGGCTTGAATGGGTAATGAAGAAAGACTTTAACATAAGTTTAACATAACAGCAAATGTACAATGTTTCGACAAAGTTTAGCTAGCAGTGAGAAAAATTATTATTCTTTTGTGTGCTAGTTTATTGACTCAACACATCTCAGGTGAAAGGGTTACATACCTTTTCAGATTAGAAGGATGGGAAAGTCAAGTTTTAATTCTTGTATGGAGATACTGTATTATAATAAGTATTTGTAATATGTTTTAAAAAATTTAAGTTTGAAACACATTTAACACGGATGTTGAGAAAGCATTTCAATGAAACCTTTCAAGATTTGCTAGGATGTTTTACCTAAGATATCAAAATTTGTCAAGGACAAAACTGCTGAAAGGGAAAATAATTAACTACAGTTCAAGATATAACAGATTCTTGTTTAACAAATGTAAAGTAAATAACAAAATGAACATTTTATAAAGAGTAAATTAAATTATTAGAAGTTACTGTATTTATCTTAGAGTATTAATTTGATGGTAAAATCGTACAAGTACATGGGGTGTCAACTATGCAGATAAATATTTCCCATGCAAATGCTGAGTTGTACACAATGATAGTATTGATATAAGCAGCTAGGATGTTTGAAAGTGCCAATTTTAATTATTTACGTATGATGAAATATTATTTGTTAGATAAAGATTACTGGTAGGTAGAGATATATGCTGAACCTGCTACAAAGATAGAAGTTCTAACTAATACGTAGACAGTAAAAGTACAGGACTTGTTATTATCACTTAGATAATCATTAAGTATCTTTGTGATAAATGATCAGTGCTACAACTAGATATTTATAGCAGGTGTGATTACATGTCCTCACCTGATTGCATTTTGTTTATATTTATGTGTATAAAATGTGCAAAACTCCAGTTTTATCCATGTGGTTACCTTCAATTTTATCTCCATTTCATACATTATGTGATATACACACACACACACACACACACACACACACACACAGTAATCCAAACTGCAAAAGACCT